TAATAATAATAATAATAATAATAATAATAATAATAATAATAATAATAATAATAATAATAATAATAATAATAATAACAGGTTGTTTGTTATTATGCTGGGAAAAAAATTTTTTTTTTTTTTGATACACACATGAATATTACAATTATAGATTAGAGATATATATGTATATATTTTATTTACTGTTACAGAATTACAGAATTACAAAGTTAGTTACTCCATTATTTATCGGAATATAATTTTTTTGAAGTATGACATAATAAAAACCTACTAATGTTTTTTATTTATGATATTACCATAAATCTTACACGCGCACACGGAGAGTAATCAATTTAAAGTAATGTAAGTAGTTATAGTTTTACACATAATATGTGTAAGCGATGATAACGGAAAAACGAGGAAAATAAAATTATTGGTTTACAATTTGACTACGATAAATTATTGATTGGTTCGAAAAAGAAATAAGATTAACTAATTTTATCTATTTTTTACAAGAAAAAAAAAAAAAAAATTCCAATCATATAACACTTATACCTTAAAAAGACAACCTGTCAAATAAAATAAATAAAAAATAACCAATTAGAAGCGTTAGGAACGTGGTCTTTTTTTTGGTGGTGTAACGCGAATATCATTGACACCTGATACACTTTATTAAAATACTTTTTTTTTCAATAATATCTGTTAATAAAATAAACTGATTTAATACATTTAGTACATTTAAAAATCATTCAGGGAATTAGTAACAATTCTCATTTATAATTCTTTATTCATAAAACAATTATAGTATAGTAATAAATTATATTATACAATATACAAATTTCTTGGCGGCAACAAAAATGTCGAACTTTAATCTTAAATCATGTGATGAGCAATCAATATATATCGTGTAAATGTTTATGTTGGTTGCATTTTTTTTTTATGTAACGAAAAAAAAAGAATAATTTATAATAATAATAAAATAATTTATAATAATAATAAAATAATAATAAAATAATAATATAATAATAATATAATAATAATTAAATTTGGTTTAAATCAGCAATGATTATACTAAATATGGAATAGTAAACCCAGATGGAGAAAATTATTAAATGGATTTATTGAATTAATTTATTTGAATGGATTTATCAAATGGATTTGCTATTGAATGAGGTAATAAAATCATAAATTGCGAATTAATTTCTGGGTTAATTTTTTTTGGGGGGGTGGTGAGGCTATGTAATCTTTAATTGCCCTATTTTAAATTTATTGCCGAATTGCTGGATAACGAATTATAGTTTTGGATTGTTTTGGGTGAACTATTTTAATAAATAAAAAATAAATATCAGATGATTTCTAATTACACAATGTAAATAATTATTTATTACTTAATTTGTTTCATTGGAGAGAGAGTTTGAGAGAGTGTGTGAGAGAGAAATGTGAAAAATGCACACACACATGCAAGCGCACACGCACACACGCACACACACAAAAAATTCACCTTTAATAACTATCTCTAAAACGTTTTCATTCTAACTCACTATCTAACTTTACTATATAACTTTATTATCTAACTTTACTATCTAACTTTACTATCTAACTTTACTTTTTACTCAAAATAAATTTGAAAGTGTAATGTGATTTATCTGTTTTATTTGATTTATCATTGGTGAAACTTATTATTTTAGGCAAGAGTATCGTAATGTTTAATCCTTTACGACTTTTCAAATTATTAAAGAATGACTATAAAGAATTGTCGGAAAGAATGATCATAATAAATAATAATGGTTAACATTTAGAAAAAGTTGAATAAATCGTCGTCTTAATTGGACCACGGCGCCATTTTACCATATTATAGTTTATATATATTATATTATAGTTTTAATATTATCAATTATAGGTATAATAGATTTCTATTCACATATAATTACATATAATTACATCATATTGCATTCCCCATTCAGTATTATTGTTTTATTTATTTATATTTATTTATATTATTATTTAATGTTATTCGTCACCTATCTTTTTTCACTTTTTTTTAATTATTATTTGGAAGAAAAAAAAAATGATAACGACTGAAAAAAAAAATGATAGCCGAAAATGACAACTAGAAATGATAACTAATGACAATTAAAAATGATAACTGAAAATGATGACTGAAAATGACAACTAGAAAATTATGACAAAAAGATAACACTGAAAATGAAAGTAAAAAAAAAGTAATTATTAAACTAAATATTAATTATTATTATTATTATTATTATTATTATTTTATTCGTTGAAATCTTATTTTAGAAAAAGGAAAAAAAAAGAAGTTTGCATGCCGTAATTACCTGAATGAATGAATGATGAATGTAAATTGATAAATGAATGAAATGTATACTGAAAATGTGTTGAATGTATTAAATGTACTAAATATGTATTGTATAATGTCCTGTATAAATGTATGTTATATATTTTATTATCAATAGATGAGATGTCATTATTATCGAAATAAGAGAAGAATAATAACAAATCAAGTTAAATTACATTTTTAAATGTAATTTAAAATATTCGGCAAGAGAATTTATATTTTTATTCATCTCGGTTATTTTATTTTAAAAATGATAATAAAAGTTACTAATCATTTATCTAATTCTTATTTCTCTAATTATTATTTCTCTAACTGTTTCTCGTTTTATTTCCTCGTTTTCAATAATAATAATAATTATAAGTATCGAAACGTAATAACGCATTTCGAAGAACTCCATGTGGTTGGTACAACTAAATCTTGATACTTTACTTTTTGTGTAATGATATCATCCTTTATTTTATTTTATCTTTTTTTTTTTTTATTTAATAATAAGAGATAAAAAAAAAACCAATGCGAGAGAATAAATAATAAAATAACAGATAATAAAAAAGTATTACAAGAAAAAGAAAAAAGGGGTTACGTGGGGGTAAATGCATAATACATGATACATCGCGTACATCGCATACATACATACGTACATTTTGTTACGTTATCATCATTATTTATATTATTTTATATTGTCTATTTGCAACCCCGCGACAAATAACTTGAAAAAAAGAAATAATTCTTCATGTTACAATTATTATTTTTTTTTTTAAAAAAAAAAAAAAAGAATCAATATAATAAATTTGGAAAAATCTTTTTTACTATCGTTATTATTACCTACTTATTACTTACTATTAGTTACTTACTCACATATTTATTGACTTTATAATATAAAATTTATTTCAAGCAATTTTTTATTAATTCATAAATTTAAATGTCGATAAATGCTGTTAATAATAATAAAAAAATTGATGTTAATAATAATAAAAATTTGGTAATAGGAAATGGTGTTAATAAATCGTATCAGTAAAATGTGACCAAAAGAGTTTTTTTTTGTAAATTATTTGTAATTGTTTTTATCTGTGTAGCTAAAAAAAAAAAAAAGAGAGAAAGAAAGTGTTGTTGTTTTTGTTGGTGGTTGTGTTATTTTTTTTTTTTTCTGCACAATTTAATAAATTTGCTTTGATTGTCAATTTATCTATTGTTATATATTTTATTTAATCTTATTTTATAATAGAACGTATATAATGAATATAGAGTATAATTGAGTTGCTTACTTAAGAACTTTTAAGAACTTTTTGTATGGTCGGAGTTTTTTTTTTATATTGGGATATTGGGAAATTGGGAAATTGAATACGAAACAAATACTTTAAATTTAAATTTTAATTATTTTATTTTTATTTTATTTATTTTAATAAATAATTTAAAAAGAAAGTAGATTTTTATTTATTACTAAATCTTATTATCCCATTCTTAGATTCCATTATGTATAAATAATTCAATTATAAACTATCCAATTAATTGACTTTAGAATAAACTACGAAAAAAGAATTTTTATATAAATCCTCATTCATTATTATTATTAAATTTTTTTTTTTCTAAATTATATAAGAGTGGAAAAACAGTTCTCTGGTCATTTTATTTCCTAACCAAGATTTTCCGTTATTATTCACAGATCATTTATTTTCTCTCTTTCATTTATTCACTTTCTTCTTTCATTTTTTTTTTGTTTTTGTTTTTATTCCCCTTCATCTCTTCTTATTCCATTCTCTACTTTGGAACTTTTTTTACGTTATTTTTATCCTTATCACCAATTTTCTCTCCTTATCGAAATTCAACTAAAAACGACAACAACAACAACACCGATAACTTCAATCATTATGACTTCTTCTTCTTCTACCAATAATACCACAGAGTGGTTACAATTTGAAGATTCATCTTCTTCCTCTTCTGATGTAAATATTTTGATTTTTAATTATTCAATTATCTGAGATATTATTTATTTATTTATATTATATTATATTTATTAATTTCTCAATTTATTATTATTATTCTAAATTTAAAGGCGGATCAAGACTTCTTACTTGTATGTAAATTTTTTTTTTAAAAAAAAAATCATTATACATTATCAATTTCATAAATATTTTTTTCTTTTTTTTTTTTTATATCTTTAATTATTTTCTTGATTTTATTTCTTCTATTTATTAGCATTATACATACAAATTTGTCCTGGGAGGGAATTATATTGCCCCTATTAATAAGGATAATTTGAAGGTAAATTATTTATATTATTTATTTAATCTTTTTTAATCTTTTGATTTATTTATCTAATTTAATTGATTTTCAATTCTTTAGACATGTTTGGATATCAAGTAATTATAATTTCATTTATGATATTTTGATTTATAATATTTTCATAATAAAATAAATTATTAAATTTTATTTTATTTACATTATTAAATAATAATAATTTAGTTTTGGCAGTGGGTCTTGGATGATGGAAATGGCTACGTAAGATTTCATTTAGATTTTATTTTATTTCATTTCATTTCATTTACGTTTACGTTCAATGATTCTTTAACTTTTATTCTCGATTATTATATGATAATGAATAATATTTAATGATATTTCCTTCTTTTTTTTTTCTTTTAGTGAATTTCCCGAGACAATGTTTTATGGTATTGACCATGACCCCAGGACTCCAGATCTGGTGTATCCACCCAACTGTATTTTCCAACAGGGTCAGGGGGATTTCTTGAGTATGTCTTTAATAAATGAGTTTTAAAAAATAAATTATTTGATAATTTTAAATTAATTAATCTTATTAATCTTTATTTTATTTTATTTTTTTTTTCATTATAGAGGAATTGCCCTACCCTAATAATTCATTTGATTTTCTTCATATACAGAACACTTTGTTTTGGATTGATCAAGAAAAACTTAAAAATTTGCTCTGTGACGCATTGCGCGTTACGCGGGGTGGCCGTTACATAGAGTTCCTTGTAGGTTTCTTCACATTTAAATTTTTTTTTCACATTTATATTTAATCATTAATCTTAATTAATTTAATTATTATTTTTATTAGGAACAAGGACTCCAAGCAAAGTAAGTTGATTAATCATTTTAGTTTTTTTTTTTTTTTTTACATTCTACATTAAATATATTAAATAAATATTCATAAATTTATATTCATATATTAATATTTATATATTTAATAGAAATGCCGGCCCTTTACTTAATAAATATATTGAAGTCTGGAGGCAGATCCGGGAGGCTAGAGCCATCGGTTTCGGTGACGCGTTGGTAACTCAAATAGAAGACATTTTTAGAGAAAAGGCGGAAATCCAAATTAACAATTGTTATGTCCCAATTGGAAAATGGGCTGGATTTGTAAGCATCTATTTACTCTCATATATAAATCGATGTTTACATTGAAATTTTTTTTTAAAAAAAAAAATAATAATAATTTATAATAATTTGTGTATATATATATATATATGCGTGTAGGCTGGAGAATTTTTTTTCTCCGCTTTAAAACTCTTCGCTTTAGAGACCGCCTCTCTCACATCTGAGAGATTAAATTTACGAACTGAGGATGATTATAAAAACTTCGTAGAAAAAATCGAAGAAGAGTGTGAACAATATAAACCCAGCATAAATATTTACGTTGGTTACGCTCAAAAATTATAACTTCCTCCATCTTTTTCTCTTATTATTATTATTTCCGCCAAAACTCTCTTCTATTTTTCTAGCCGTTAATGAAATTTTCGAGAAACCAATTTTTCTATATCTTATATATATATATATATATATAGAAGATATTATATGTATATTCTCTTAAGATACAATTTTAAGCAATAACTTTAATAACTTTAAATTTTATGGGAAGTTGCCATTTATTATTATTTAAAACTATAACTTTAACTATATCAACCTATGAAAAAAAAATCAAAGATTTAAGAAAAAAACCAGAATTATTCATATTAATTTGACGACACCATCCAACAGCCAACAAAAAAAAACTACCATATATGATTATATTTACCAAAAAAAAAAAAATTAAGAAAAAATTAGAAATATTATTATTATTTCGACACCACCAACAAACCAACAAATCAACAAAAACAACAATAATAACTATAATTATATATATATTTATATTTACTATGAATTAATGTTGAAGAAAAAAATCAATTTAATTTTTATACAATTTTCTTCTTTCTATCAGAAAAAAAATTCCATTTTGCGTCGTTTTTTTTACACGTTAAAAAAAAATTCATTCTTTATACTTCCGTTTCGTTTTCGTTTTGTTTTTTATGTTCAAATATAATAATTTTTTTAATCGATTATACTCTTTACTATATATATAATATTTTTTTTTCGTTTTTTTTTAATTAATATATATATATATATATATATATTAGTGCGTAATGCAAATTTTTTATTTTCTTCCTTTTTTATCATGACGTCGTTGTCTTTAACTTGTTCAATTACTCTTTTTATTTTTACTTTTCCATTATTTTATACAAATCAAAAAAAAAAAATCAAAAAGATAAATCAAAAAAAAATTATTTTATTTTATTTCTTTAATTTTAATTTTTATCAATCTTTTTTTTTTATTTTTTATTTTTCATTTCGCTTCTTTTTCTTGTTACTTTTTTATTTGTCTATTTATTTTTAATTCAAATTTATTTGTGAATTATTTCCAGTCCTTTTTATTAATAAAATTGATCTCAAAGATTTCAAAAAAAAAGAAGTGTTCATTATACTATTGACTATTATTATCATTTAAATTAAAAAAAAAATAATAATATTTTAAACCGATTTCTTTTTAGGTCATTGAATTATATCGTTGAAAATCAAATAATGTTCGTGACTTTTTTCACAAGCATATCGCATATGAATTGTATAAATTGTATGAATTGTATGAATTATATGAATCGTATGAATTATATAAAAATAAAATAATAACTTAAAAAACTCGAAAGTTCTTCTTATTAATGTAAAATATTAAATTTCATTCTTTTTATATCCATAAACTGGTTTTATTTTTTCGGAATTTTTAATTCGTGATGATTGGATGATAGTTGTGTGTCGTGTATCATTGATAATCATCTATTTTTTTTTTTTTAGAAAAGTAACTAATGTTCTGTCGATGGCGTAAATATAAATATGAGTAAATCTTTTTATTACTAAAAAAGCTTTTATCTGCTATGAACGTTTACAATAAAATGAAATAAATGAATGAAATTGTTAAAATTTATAATAATTAATTACTGTCAAAATGTCAAAATTTTATTTTCTCGAATATTTTGCTGTTTGTTAAATAAATACAGTCGTAAATAATAAATCTTCGTATTCTTTGCAATTTTCTGTCATAATCTAGAAAAAAAAATAATTCCTTGTCATCATCCCATTATTCATTTTCATTGTTTTTCATTATTTTTTTCATTTTTTTCATTATTTTCATTATTTTCATTATTTATCGTTATTTTTTTAACATTATTTATTATAGTTATCGTTTTTATCATAGCTATCATCTTTATCATAGTTATCTTTTTATCTTTTTTATCGTACAATTTTATTCTTTTTTTAATGGAAAATAATGGAAAAATAAAAAACCTTGTTTATATGGCTCGTGAAATGTCAAATTCTTTCTGCTGTATTTCAATTTAACAGAGCACAGACATTTTGACAGTTTGATATTTTTGACATTTTGTAGTCATACTTGATATTCATCACACTCCTAACGAAACAATAAAGCACAAAAAAATCTTTAAATAAAACAATAAACAAATAAATAAAAATATGCATAATCGGGATTTAAAAGACTTTTATACTACAGACTTCAAGTTTTAGTTTGTTTGTTTTTTTTTTTTTTTACTTGCAAAAAACACGCACCTATATATTATCATATTATATTAACGGACAATAATAAAATATTTTGAAAAACAATCCGAGTATAAATTAGACACAGATTATTCTTAATTCTTAATTCTTAATTCTTATTATCCTTCGTTTTTCCATTAAAAACACCGATGCATAATGCATGTCGTGTAATATATGGGCGATAAGTAAAAAAAGGAATTTGATCACCTGAGTCAACTTTTTAATTATAACTCTATCTAATGTTTGTGCCACATTTATTACAATCTTTTTTTTTGTGGTGTTTAGTAATTCCTTTTAGGGAATAACAATATTAATTATATTTTCTGACATTTGATGATTGTCTAAAAAAATATATATAAAGTATTATTAGCAAAGGCGATATCTGATTTTTTAAAATAAATAAATAAATAAATATATGTACAGTATATTATGGTTTAATCCTTTCACATTACGTATATTTTATATCTGATATGTGCTTAAATTTCAAATTAAAAAAGTTACATTTTTTTCATTATTTTTTTTTTTGCGTGCTATAACTTTGGAGGGAAGAACAATTGTTCTATTGTCTTCTCTATTGTCGAATAATTTACCTCCTTGTCAATAAAAAAACCAACATCATCATATTCATTCCGCTCACAAGAAATACGAAATACTTGGTTCAACATTCCATGAATTTCTTCACGTGTCGTGTGGATTAAGTAAGAAATTTCACGTGAGATTTTTCAAAATTATTATTATTATATTAATTAACGATTACAGTATCATAAATGTGATCTTTGTTAAACTAATCTTTACATTTTTTTTTATTTAAACCTTTTAGATATTTCGTTTGTAAAAAAAAAAAAATTCAAATCAGGGGATCATTTAACGGAAAAAAATAAGGATTCATTTATCATTTACTTCATCTGTCAATTTATATTTTTAGAATGTAGATTAGATGATACAAATATACATTTATATATTTTATATTTATTTTTATACAAATTAAAAATAAAAAAAAAGAGAGAGAGAAGAAAAAAAAAAATAAAATAAAAAATTAAATTATATATGATAAAATGAATAAAATGACGAACAAAACTTTTTACAAATTTGGTGATATTCATATATATTTTTATTTCTATTATGTCAAATATATATTTTAATATAAAAACTTTTGATAAAATTGTTCTAAGCGTTCAATTCGTTTCTCAAGAAAAGAGTTGTAGTTATTGTCGTTTGATATTTCGGCAATTTCCCAGGGTCGAAAATTGGTATTGGTATTGGTATTGGTGGTGGTAATAGTGGCGGGGGGTAAAGATTCTTTATAATAATAATCTTCCTCAGGAATCTCCCGAAAAAAAAAGTTTTGATCACATAATGATGATAATGGCGATAATGGTGATAAGGGTGGATAGCATATGGTATCAGGAATGATTTCAGGAATAATCTCAGAAGAACCCGAACAAGTTAGTTGTGATAATTCAACTGAAGAGGATGAAGGAGAGGAAAAAGAATAGAAAGTAGATGAAGGTGAAGATTGTGACATTGTTAATGAATCAAATGTTGTACCATTTGGAAAATTAAATAAAGAATCCGAAAAATAATTATAATTTGAAAATGAAGCTGATTGTGAATTTGAATTTGAATTTAAATTTGACTGTTGCGACTGAGTTAATAAAGATGGTGATTTTTCTGGAGATAAGGAATTTTCAGAATAAATTGTAGTGGTTTGTGTATTTTTAAATTTTCTATCCATAGAGATGAAAATTGGACGAGATTTCTCATATATTTTTTTCGCTTCATTAGCCAATTTTTTATAATATTTTTTAACTTGTGGTGGTTCATTTGCCCAATTACGACTAGCAAATTTGGAGATAGCGGGTATTGAATAATTACATTTTTCATTTCTAAGTACTCGATGAATTCCCATTTTGTAAGCAATAAAAGCATTTGGAGTTCTTCCAGGATTATTACCATGAGGAGAAGTTTTAGCAATAAGATCGTTTATTGTTATATGAGGGGGAAAAGGTATTTTAATAGAATTATCAATGGCTTCATTTTTAGGTTTTTCTCTTTTTTCTCTTTTTTCTCTCTTGCCAGTTATTGTTTTATTAAATTTATTATTAAATTTATCTTTATTATTATCTTTAGGCATTTTGATTTTTTTTTATTATTTATTTGGGAATATTTGACTTGAGAAATTTTTTAACAAAAAATAAGATTAAGAATGATATTTGGGAATGAAATTTTAAATAAAGTTGAGAAAGGGAAGAGACGACATTTTTATAACAAAAATTGCTAAAATAGATGGCAAATACGATATTAAATGATAAATTTTTAGGTAACCTCTGGCGTCTTAATTAACCAATAATGAATTTTGCACGAATTATTCCGCCATGTACAAAGCGGAAATTTTTTTTTATTAGAAAAATCTTAGTTTCCATAAAATCCATTTAAATTATGTAAATCTGAAGTTTTATGACCCCCCCCCCCCGCATGGATTGCATTATGTTAAAATATTCCGCATGAATAACATTTAGTTATAATTAACTACATTTACGACATTTATTTACATTTAACTACATTTAACTAAATTTTAACTATATTTAACAACATTTTCCCTAAACACAGGGAAACGTATAACAAACAAAATGCGGAATAAGCGGAATCTATTGGATTAAGGATAGATTTACAAAAAAAAATTCTGACAATTCAAACTACCAAATTAGTTTTAATTTTCTATTAGTTAAAGAAAAATTCCGCTTTTCTTGAACACAATATTTATTAAAATTCTAATCTCCCAATTAAATATCAGCGTAATAATTTCCCAAAATATGATACAGAAAAATTTTCCGCACTTAAAAATAATTACAATAAAATATTTCTTTGTATTATTTTTTTATCTTTTTTTTTTTTAACATGAATCTTTTATTTATTTTACACTAAAAATAAAAGTAAATAAAGTAAATAAGTTATTAGAGAGTAATATAATATTCTATTATACAAATAAGAAGAATTTTCATATATTTCAATCAGCGAAACATTTGATATGAGAGTAATATTCTATGATACAAAAAAAAGAAGAATATCAGTAAAACATTTGATTTGAGAGTAATATTCTATGATACAAAAAGAAGAATATCAGCGAAACGTTAAAAAAAAATTTCATAATACGAATCAATTTTTCAGATAATACATGATGGACATCGGATGTATGTAATGTTAAAGATGAAATGTTTCAAAAATAATTTTTTGTAAGTTATGATTTCTATTTTTACAAAATGAATATAAGCGAAAATTTCTTACGTTTTAAAAATGTTATGACTTTAAAAGGTATGAATGTATGTAAAAAATTAAACTATGTTGAAGACTTTTAAAAATGCAAAAATTCAATTTACAAAATTTTCTTAATTTGTAAAATATTACAGATTTAATCGTTTAGCCAATTGGCAATAAATATTTTTGACGTTTGGTGCTGCATTCTTCCATGAGAGGCTGGACCTTATTTGAATATACGGAACGTTTCGATTAAGCGCGATAAATTGAATACGGTATTTATGTTTATATATTTCGTACCCTGTTAATGGTTCTTTTCTTTTATTAATCATCCGAAAATCATGAATTGTAACAGGAATCATTGTTGGTTCAATAATATTATTAATATTAATATCCATTTTTTTTTTGAATTCGTGCAACCGATCAAACAGAAATTCTATTGCATATTTATAGTTTTTTTTTGAAAAATGAAATGACATAATTCAAAAAATAATATTTATAAACAATTTACAAATAGAAAAATTTTTTCTTTAAAAATTGGTAATAAATAAAGTAGTAGAAATAATATTTTTACTAATCACGCGGGGATGCTCAAAAATATGTAACTAAGCTCATTCAGTGCATTCCTTAATTGATATTTGTTTATTACACAGAAGTGTTCATAAATATTAAAATCATGACCTTATGTTACATGTTACATCTGTTACATCGGGTACATCCACACAATCACACCAATCAATGATAATCATAATCTGATAATAAAATATTTTGGTCGTTTTATAACCCTTCCCAATGAATCATCCCAATTACTGGCTCTTCTTACTCTTCTGGCCTGGCCTCCTCTTTGTTTATTCGCTGAGGATTCATAGAATTATATCAGTTGATTGGTTCATTCTTTCACAAGTTTCAATCTCTCATCTACTGCTTTAAAAAAAACCAAATTACTATTAATCTTGGTTAAAATTATACAAAAAAAAATTCCTCGAGTTGCAATGGCGATAGAATGATGAAATTAGATTGATATTTCATCAAACCATGTACAGTATAAGAACATAATTAGATAAAAAAAATCTCAAAATTAATTTGAATAAAAAATATTTCTCTCTACTCAGTAATGTCGTTCTTGTACAAATCATGATTTAAGCTATATAACATAATTGTATTGGCTTTTGAGAGACCAGAATTATTGTTATTGAATTTTTTTTTTGTGATTTTGTGATTTAACAAAATTTAACTTGCGGAAACTTTAAATTTGATATAAATTTAATAACAAAGAGTAATTTTTCAATGAAAACAATTTTAGTGAAATTTCCAACTTTCGAAATATATTTTCCAGATCCTGTGTAACTGTGTGACGACTGTTCTTTCAGTAATTTCCTCTCTGTGACTAACTAAATCATTTCCTCTATTAAAACGAGTTATCATGGTTTTCAGCTAACCTTTTTTGGAATAATTTCCTCTTTTGTTAATCAAATACCTAAAATAATTTTATTTCAAAAATCTTTTGGTTATTATTTTTTTAACAATAAAGACTACAACTTTTTTTCTATCATTTAAACTCGTTACCATTTAATTAGCAACTAAAGGTAGGAAAATATGTATAGTGAACACACAGCAACTATACTCAATTTACCAATGTTGAAAAGGTTTTATACTATAGAGGAAGTATAAAGTGTGAAGGATTTTGTTATTACTGATTGCTTCGAAAGAGGCAGAGGGTGAGTTTTTATAAAAATATCCACACAGGATAGAAATAATAATTCACACAGAATTATAGATCAAAAATGTCACAAAGACTTTATAATATTATTATTATTGAGAACATGCACACACACTTTTAAGCTGAGGGAAAACTCGGTCTTTATATACATTATAATTATTGTCAGTGTTCATGCTGGTATTCAGGTCAATACTATTGTCAGTAATCATGTCAGTACCTTTGTCAGTACAACTGTCAGTAACTTTGTCCATGTTCATGTTAGTGTACTACTGACTTGCATTTGATTGCATAATTTTGTACAAGCTAAACTAAGTAACAATTTCTAATTCGTACAACTTGACTAAATTGATCTACTTATACTAATAACTACAAATGTAAAGAGGATTTTTCCATATATATTTTGTGCGACCAACATAAGAAGAATTCATTATTTTACAATGAATAAATACTTGAAGATCTAAAGACTTTATGACGCCCTAACCGTATGAGTGGTATAATAAGTTTAGAAGGAGATGGTGAAGAGTTGAAGAAGAAATAATTTTTGGTTGGTCAAGTGAATATGTCCAAACCAAGGATAAGGAGATTTATTATTATTTATAAATATGGGCTTCGTTTTCTTTTAATCGTCAAATTTTAAGATACATTATTCTTATCAAGACAATTAATTATTGTCCGGAACGAAGCGTAGGATGTTATACTTTTACGCACTATGTTTGAAAATTGATCACACGCGAACACACGTGAAAATTTCCGGTTGTAACGCCGCGTCGTGCCAAACAATAACGTTTTGATAATAAACAGCATCAACCAATAAACAATAAACAACAACACTGCCAATCAAATCAAATTAATTTTTTTGAAAGCTTTATTTTATATTTTGTATATTCTTTACATGTTAATTAATTAAACAAATTCAAATATATACTGCTCTAGATTTATAACGGTTCCCGTTTCCTAGTTGTAACCGCTTTACATTGTCTTTATTGATCATCAAAAATGAATTAACGAATTAAGGATATATTATATATATTATATTTTATATATATGTTGGTTATTTTATTGCTTAAAAATAATAATACATGAATTCAAGAATATATGTTAAGCAAGAGACGACCTACAAATGAAGAAATTTGCGATCACGCGATTTATATTATTAAGTGAGGGATTGAAACTATTAAAACAATAATTAGATCAGTAAAATCAAGGTTCGTGTAACTTTTTTCTAAAAATTAATAATAATAATGATAATAATGAATTTAGCTTAATCTGAAAATAAACTACACATAAATAAAATAAGCACATATATATATTAAGTAATACAATAAAACTACATATTTATTACGAATTCATCTTCTAACTTTGCTTTTAAACTCGGATTCCGACACAATCTTTGATATTCTTCCCTATATTCACTACTCGCGTTCCTCCAAGAAATCTCGGCAACAGAAGATAAATTTGTTAAATAATAATTTGCTGATCTTTCACCATTACCATCTCGAGAGAGAGAAGAAGAAGAGAAATAATCAATCAAACACTTTCTACAATCTCGAGAGAAAGAAGGAGGGAAATAATCAATCAAACATTTTTTTATTTGAAGAATGAATATGTATCGCGCATGAGGTGTGGAAATGTCTGATCGAGATGATTGAGTTGTGGGACGATATTTATCAATCAATAAGTGAGCTTCATCAAGGTTTGGAACGGGTACATAGATTAAAAATTCATCTGGGAATCTGACTTCATGAGACATTGATATTTTTTATTATTTTTATTTTTAATTTTTAATTTTTAATTTTTAATTTTTTATTTTTTATTTAGGGTGAAAAGGATTTCTTTTATGATTATTCTTGGAGAAATTTTACAAACACTTATTATTATATTGATTTTATTATGCGTTTAGGAATTAATTTTTCATTAACGCGATAAAATTATTTTATCGAGTGAAGTTTCTAAAATTTACTTATTTATATTATTTTATAACAATAATTTTTCTATATATTCTAACATTGTAATACATCAATTACATCAATAAATTTTTACCACAATTATAGAAATATCGTTATAATATAATTACAAAATCTGTATAATGTAATTGTAATAATTATGAATATATTTGATTTTATACTCCTTTCGAATCAAAATAATTATCGTTATTATGCAAGAGAACGAGGAAAAATAAATAAATATATTCAAGATGTTATAGCGTACAGATGAGAGTTGCATATTAATTTCTTTACGATAATCTCCGTAAGATGATTCTTTTATTTGGACATTTAATAATTACAAAAAAAAAAAAGGAGAAGGATGAAAAGAAAGGAGAATAAGGAAATTCATGATTATAAGTAAAGAATCGCAATTTGTGTGTAGATGAATTTCTTCTTCATTTAATTTTTTTGAGACAATTTTACAGTTACATTCCTAAATTGGTGTATAAGTAATATATTGTTGAGATTTGATAATTATTTTAAATTATCTTTATTGTTTAAATTATCTTTACTATTTAAATTATTTTTATTATTTAAATTAATTTTTATTATTTAAATTGTCTTTCTTATTTAAATTTTATCTGTGTTATCTAAAGTATTATTATTATTATTGAAGACGTTTAGCACTCTTTTTTTTAGTTCATTTCTTTTGGAAAACATAATAATAGATTGAGATTGTAATAGATTGATTGAAAAAGCATAATATATTGTTAGGGCAATGTAATAACTTAGGGGATGATACATATTCTTATTATTACAACTAAAGCTTACTTTCTTTCTCAAAAACTTTTGTCTTCTTCTTTTAAAAACAATGGAATCATAAAGACTTGACACTTGATTTTATTTATTTTACTTTATTTTTATTAAAACGAAAAAAGATATTGTGTAAATTTTTTTTTATCACTCACAAAAAGGAAAATAAAGATTGTATTCCAAATTAGGAATGTTTTATCTAAAGTTTCCATATGATCTCGTATTCTGATTGTTTATTATAATTTGTCATGAACTTTAAACTAACTAGACTTACTGGACTTGTATAACACAAAATCTGGGTAAGAAATATTAAAAAAATTAAAGTTTGTCAAAAATCATTCTTTTTTTGAGTTTTGTTTCATATTGCGTAAAAATTATAGAAGCATAAATATTTTCATACTATTATTTTTCCATTTATTAAAATTAAATCTCGTGAATGATTAATGACATCGGAAAGGTTGGGAAGACAGAATTCTTATCAGTTATCGGATTATTGGCTTGTGAAACAATATAAGTTAAAATAATGCAATATAAATTAAGATAATTAAATACTGCATATTTAATTTACCTGCCACGTACTGCATAGCCTTTTCTCAATGATCTGAAACTTTTTTTTCAATAGACACATCTTTCAAAAATTCATATTTTATAATTTCTAGAATTTCTTCGTCCCCTTTATCAATATTATTATAATTATATAATAATTATATAATTATTATTATTATAATTATTATAGTTATCCTAGTTATTATTATAAAGTTTATTATAACTATTATAAAAAGTTTATTATAATAAAAAATGACAGTTGAGACAAAATTAACAGATTTCAGGACAGCAACCATAACACAACATTGGAATGATCCTCCACAAAAAGTATATCAAAAATTTCTTTCCTTATATTAAGTTAAAATTATTTATTAAAAATTTCATTATCAAAAAAAAAAAAAAATGAATAATAGATATTTTTTAAACCTGATGATGGTTATGATCGATTAGACTCTTATCAAATTCGTTCAATATTAGAAAAAATATTGGAAAATTGTAAAAATCATTCCATGGTATGAAAAATTTACTTCATCAAAATATTTTTAAATAAATTCAATAAATTCAATAAATTTATAATTAATTTATCAATTTATTAATTTATTTAACTTACAGGTATCTGATAGACGAATGGTGACAGATAGTGAAAAAAGATTAGCATTATTATTTGAAAGATTAGAAAAGGAACAAATATCTGAATCTGTTCTTGGGCGATTATGTAAAATGTGTGAATGTATGTTAAAATTGATTTAAATTTAATACCTTTTTATATTTTGTTTTATTTTTCTTGTTATATTTCTTATTATATTTCTTTTCTTATTATATTTCTTTTCTTATTATATTTCTTTTCTTATTATATTTCTTTTCTTATTATATTTATTTTATTAGATGTCAAAGAAAATGACTTTATCAATGCATTAACAATTCATAGTAATCTTATGACTACCGATTTTGGAAATGAAGGAAAATGGTTATTGGGTCTTAAAAGATTATTGGATTTGTGTAAAAAGAAATTAGAATCGAAATAATAATTTAGTTAAAATTTTGTCATAATTTAGTTATAATTTAGATATAATTTATTAATTTATTATCAGATAAGTTTAATATCAGATAATGAAATTTATTATTCGAATTGATAGATTTTAGTAATCCTTTACTACAATATTATATATATATATATATAAATTATAAAATATTTTACTTTTTAGAATAATGAAGGATATTATATATAATTATATTTTTAATAAATGAAAAAAAAAGAAAATGAAATTTTTGCTTATTTGCTTATATGTAAACAATTCTTCTGTCATCAAATCCCTTATCAAAAGATCATTGATTGACAAAGAGAATTGTTTATAAACTTATTCCTTATAAATGATTAAAAACATTTAAAGATTTTAAGATTGTTGAATTATTTTTCTATAGTAAAATGTCTATTATATGTCCAAAATATAATGTCTAAAAATCTATTGAATTTTTGTTTTTCTAACTTCTTACTCCACGACTCCATTTAAATTTGAATGATTTTTTTTCTTTAATTTCAGGTCTTTGTATTATTATGGGTGCACCCATTTCTACATTTAATGGTGAAGTAATATTATGTTCTTCTATGATGGTCTTTTGACGTTTTATTGGTGATCTATTTTTGGTATTCGTCATTATGGAATTCACAATTCTATGTAACTTCGTTGAGTTGGGATAAAAGAAACTTGTGGGACATTCAAATGACAAAGGTACAATCCATCTTTCTCGTATTTTTTCGGGTGATGATGAAGCAGGTGGATTTTCGGTTAAGTAAGAAAATTTATAAGGAACTTTCAAATGTGTTGTCCCATCTCCTACTCGATAAACTTCTTTGATTTTTCGACATGTACTGTTTGGAGTTTTTATGGACAATTTACAAGATTTTTGTAATAAATTATAATTAAAAGGATAATTTGGATTATTTAATTTAGGGAATTTATTATTATTTTCATCATCCTCATTATCTGATATATTAAAGATCATTTGCCAAAGTGTGGGGTTTCTAATAAATTGATCACTATAAAATTTAAGTTGTTTCATTTGTTTAGGTTGAAAAATGAAATTTCCCGTTTTTTCATCCATTTGTTCAAAAAAGAAATCCATATCAAAATTTAATTTATGTTCTTGTTCGAAATAAAATTGTAATCTAACATTTTTATTCCGGAATAATTTTTTGAGGCAATTATTTGCAATAAGTTTGAATCTTTTACATAAACTACTTAAATTTATTAATGTTGGGATATCATCAATTTCCTCAAATATTATAGACAAAATTTCATTTGGAAATCTTAATAAAGAAGAAAAAGAGGGATAAGTTCCACCAAACTTTTGCCGAAAGGATTGTTTATTTTTTTTGAAAGGCATTTTGATATAATCGTTGTATTTTTGTGTTACTATAAAATTAATTTAGTGATAAAAATATTGGTGATAATTAATGAGGATAATGAAAATAGAAAATAAATGTAAATAAAAAAATAACTCCTTTAATTTTCGAATGAAAAATTTTTTATTGAGAAAACTGGTGCATTTATAAACATCCTCTCAATAGTTGCTCCTTTCCATTTCGTTATCTTGTTCTGGTCTGTTACACGCCATTATTCAATGAAAACTAGAAATTTGTAGGTTACTCGAATACGAAAATATATAATAAATTGTCCCTAATTGTGGAGGGATTAATTTCCATCCCAATAATTGTCTGTACAACAACATTAAATAATGAAACCTTATCTAAATTTCATGATAACCAACAGGAAACCTTTAAAGGTCGTTGAAAAGTATTTAATGTTTGTAATAAAATTATTTACTTTGAGAAAATAAGCTAATATAAAAAAACAATCCATCTTTTTTTTCGAAAATCTGTTTACAATTTAATTTACAATTAAAATCCCATTCGGGCTGTTCATTTTGAAAATCCATAACACATCAATGTATATTATGTAAAAATAGAAACTCGAATTGTTTGTTTTTTCACAAAGAAAGCCCTATTTGAAAAACAAGAAAGGAAAGTAGAGTGGCGTAAATTACGGGTCTGTATTTTGAATAAAATGCCAAGAATGGTGAAAGTGTCACACCTTGAAAATAAAAATAGATTTATACAAATTACCTTTTATATGCTTCAATGTTTTGTTTCACAAGTTTTATTTAAAGCCATAAAAACAAAAAGAATTAACACGTGTTTTTTAACACTATAGGGTTTATATACAAAGAACCATAAAATAAATCAATGACCGCCAATATTCAATAACCAGGGTTTGTCAAAGAAAAGAAATGAGAAAGAAAATTTTAAATTTTAAAAACTGATTAACTGCAATGGATAATAATCTTTGTTGGTGACTAAAAAAAGAATAAAAAATGATTACGAGAATATCTGCTATTAAGATCTTGCGTGGGTACTTCTATAATAAATCATTTCAATCAATTTTTTATATACAATACCGGTAATTTCATTTTGCTACGAATTTATAAACTTTCTTTGACATTTCTACTTTCTAAAGTCCAATGATGGCTAGTAATATGGGATATTTCAGTAAATAAAAGTGTACATTTACCAACATTCTACAAGCAATTCAATACACGTTGAAATCCTTAAGATGTTTCCTTTAATATTAGTTAATTGCTGAGTTGCTAAATTTGGTCTTATATTATGAGATTGAGCCATGAATACGGATTCTTGACATATAAAACAATTTTAAGATAATTCAATTTTCGTAACTTTTTGGAAGATCATTTATCTGAAAAGAAAACTAGGCCAGTTTTAACGAAGTTTCACTAGGGATAATGCATTGAAAATCTCGAAATTGAATATTTTAAAGTTTTCATTTTTCACGAAAATAAACTGTATTACATACTTGTTTTAAACACAACCAAATTGATATATACAAGGAAATTTTCATATAAAGCGGATTGTGGTTTTTCTTAATTATAGAATTAAAGTTTGAAGCCTTTTATATATCGTGTATGTTTGAAAAACTATTGTCCAGTTTTCCTTCAATCTTTGAGTATCAGAAAAAATTATCTAACTAATGTCGTACAAGAAAAATATTGAGGTGGCACGAATATGACGAAGTCACGGGATATGATAAGTGTTGGAAGTTTTTTTTTCTTCTTATTATTATTGATTTTTTAATTCTTTCTTGTCATATTTTATTTTATTATTATTTATTTATTCATTATTTATTGTTATTAAATAGTTATTGTATTAGCTTTAGAATTGACATATATTTATAAAGTTATTTTATTTTTGTATAAGTAGTTAATTAAATTAGTATCATAATAATAAGAATTATTAACTTTAGAATAGCTAAAATAGAAAAGGTTAATTGATTATCAAAGAGGATCCTAAGTATCTCTGATCTTTTTACATCATAATTAAGGTACTCAGTTTTGTTAACCAAGAATATCTTAAAGAAAATACAGTATCTCAATAGAGATTCAATTATCCTTGAACTTTAGAAAGAAATTAGATGCCTTAATTAAAATACACTGGTTGAATGATCAAAAATTGGCAAATTTTTTTGGTGATTCGAGTCAAGAATCAGCTAAAATCAGCTGTCTGATCTTCAAATCACTTAAAAATTGACTGCCTAATTTGCAAATTAGCTATCTGATTTTTTGATGATTTTTAAATGATTTTTGATAATAAAAAAGAAAAAATCAATCATTTTTACTTTTTTTATTAGCAAAATATCAAAACTGTTATAAAAACAAACTTGATAAGTCAGTTTTAATCTAATTTAGCTAAATTTTATAACCATTTTTTTTTTATAATTAAAAATTTTTGATAAGTCAGTCTATTATATAAAAATCATAACAAAGCCTAAGTCAATTTCATACTTCAGTTATTTTTATAGTAAATATATTGTGATAAGCCAGTTTTGATCATGTGTTTATGTATTTACATGATAATAATAAAATTAGATCATCAAAATTGTCAAAAAATTTTTTGAACTTTTAAAATTTTTAAAATTTTTAAAAATTTTAAATAAAGTAAGATTTATAAAAATAAACATTATTGCTATTTATAAATATTACTGTTATTAATATTTATTTAAATTTATTTAAAAGAAATTTTATAATAAATAAAAGTTCAAATAACAAATATTATTAAGGCTATTGATATTCAAAAGAAGAATAAGAAAAATAATAAAATATAAATGATATAGAAAATAAACAGATTTTAGAAAATATAGAAAAAATTAGTAACACAAAAAATGTAAAGAATGGAAAAAATACAAATAATTTTGAAAAATCTGATAATATAAAAATGAAAAAGGTTTTGAAAATCTAAATGATATGAAAGATGAAAATATAAATTTGTAGAATTTTATAAATTCAGAAGATTTGAAAAATAATAACAAAAAAGGTAATGATGATGACAATAATAATCATAATGATAATGATAATCATGATAACAATAATAATAATGACATTATAATGATGAAAATATGAATTTGTGAAATTTTGTAGATTTAGAAAATTCAAAGAATAATAATAATAATAATAATAATGATAATAATTATGATAACAATAATAATAATGATAATGATAATAATCATAGTGACAATAATAAAAGTAACAATAGCATTAACAATTATAATAACAACAATAAAGATAACAATAACAACAATAATCACAAAGCTAATAATAATAACAAAAATAATAATAATACAAAAAAAAAATAGTGGCTATAAAAAATATAAAAAATTAAAAATTATGTAAGTATAAATAAGCAAATCTGAATATTTTTAATAAAAAAATAGCAGAATTATATGAAATTATCAAATTAAAAATTGGAGAAATTTTAAGATCAAAAAAAAAGTAGTTTTCAATTATTGAAAATTTATCAAATGTCAAAAAAAAAGAAAACAAAAAAGTGAATAGTCAAAAATAAAAAAAAATACTAATAATTTGAATTGATTTGTAAATAAAAATAATTATATAATATCAGGAAATATTATAATACAAAGGGTAAAAGATTTTACAAAAAAGTTAAAAATTACAAATTTTATTATATCTTCAGTAAATATTATATATTTATTTTTTTTTAAATATTATTAATTTTATTATATTAATAATATTTATATTTTAATTAAGGATGACTATCAAATTTTTTAAAAAAAAAGAAATAATATTAAAGAACATTATAAAGCAGAAAAAGTAGTAAGTGCCACTATTAAAGATTTGTTAATATTTAAATCTAAATTACAAGTTTTGATTTCATAATTTGAATTGGATAATATATAATACTAATGAAACATGATTCTATTGAAAATTAGAACCTAATAAATCACTTGCTACATTAAGAATTTTTGTATAACGTTTTACAATATTTTGCAAATAAAATATTCATATAATGTTCTATATATACCATTTTATAACATTTTATAAATATTATATTTTAGAACGATCCGGTGTTGACCCTATTTTTTTATAATTATATATTTTTTTATTACAACGTATTTTATTATTATTTTATCTTATTATTATATTAGTATTTCATATATGTATTATCTTATTTAT